ATATTTATATTAATATAATATATATATATATATATAATATACATATTAAAATACATAATTGAAATATACATATTAAAATATATAATTAAAATATATTAAAATATAATTGAAATATACATATTAAAATACATAATTAAAATATACAAATTGAAATATACTTATTAAAATATACAAATTAAATATGCATAATTGAAATATATTTGGAGTTGTTTTTGATATATTGTTTGGATATAGTGTTTTTGAAGTTGTTTTTGAAATACACATTTACTGTAGCATTTTGAATGTGAAAAACAGTTTTTCAAAAACAGACACAAAAACACTCAATCCAAACGGACCCATAAGTTTGAAAATGATATATGTGCTCGAAAGTTAGTTACGTGGTTGAGATCAAGCAATTTTACAACATCACAGGCATTGTTGATAGCAAATTCAAAGAGAATATGGATATTCGAATATACAATCATGCATAGAGTAAACTTACTCTATTTAATTTAATTATTGTACAAATTTTTTAAATTTATAATCATAACCTATATTTTCTTTCATTCTTATTAGGTTAAATATTTTCGAATACTTGCTTACATTTAGAGCATTAACATTAGGGGTGGGCAAAATTATCCGCTAACCCGAAAAATCGTTATATCCGATCCGATCCGATCCGATCCGAAAATTAGGATATCCGATTTTTATTATTTGATCGGGTCAAAAGAGGGTCGGGTATCTGCTAAGATGCGGGGTGGGTTAGGGTCACATAATTAAAAACCCGCAAATACCCGATCCGCCCCGCATATATATATTTTTTATTTTTATTTTTATTTTTATTTTTATACACACACTATAAAATAATAAGTTAGAACTAAATAAGTAATTTTATTGAATAAATTGCATTACAAAATATGAGAAACTATAGTTTATTTACAAGATTCATTTGTAAAGGCCATGATCTTATATTTTATAGAAAAAAGTTTAATTAATGTGGAATATATATATTAAAAATTGTGCTACTTATTTCAAACTTTTATTAATTTTGAATTCTTTTAATTTTTTTCCTTTATCTTATATTCTCTTCATATGCTTGTTTCTTGGTGGGAAACATCTTTTTAGAAAAAAAATTATTAAATCTTAGATGAATGTGTAAAATATAAAATTAAATTGGTATAAATCATTTTTTTTAAAAAAATTAAATGATAAACGGGGCGGGACGGGTACCCGCTGATCCGACCCTATCTCAGCGGATACCCGTTATCGGGTACCCGCTGATATTCGGAGCGGGTAAGGGTCAGAAAATGGCTGACCCGTAAGGTGCGGGTCGGGTCAGCCAAATGGTAAATGGGGCGGGTACCCAACCCACGCCCACCCCTAATTAACATAGAAAACATGTTCTATGAGCTATGCAAAAATTGTGGACAACTACATGAAGGTCATTTTTCAAAAATAGTGTGTATGCATTGTAATGACATGATCGACACTATTATAAGGTAATTAATTTCATGTACCTTTAATTTCAATAAATTTTTTTGTATTGTATATAACATTTATTTGTCAAACAGGTACAATGTTAACATACAAATTAAAGATTCCTGTGGTAAGATGCATCTTAATCTACAGGACAGACATGCACGATTCGTATTTGGTTGTGATGTTTCTTATATTAGAGAATTACAAAGGAATGTAGAATTTATTGATATATATTCATTTTTTATAATGCTATTTATAAACTATGTAAAAAAAATACACTAATTTTGAATTTTACACGTATTTAATTCTCAGGACAATGGTGATAGGTTGTTCAATCAACGAATCAATTCATGCAAAGATCGTGCATTTTCATTTGTAGTACACATTCCACAAAATTCAACAGAATTAATTAAATCACCAATTTTGGCTGTCGTACTCTAAGTTGATTGGTGTGAAGAGTGTTCGCACCTTCATGCAAGATTATCAAATCGAATGCATAATATTTGTAAGTATTTCATTTTAACAACATTTAATTACATTTATTGTTATTCATATATCATTCATTTTTTAATATAAATTTCTATTATTTTTTCAGGATCTATCTTTCGAAAAAAGATAATTTTTGAATAATATACACATTCTATCATATTTCAAACTATTGTGAGACAGATATTATATTTTAATTGTGTTGGTACAATTTTTTAACCTTTTTAATTGATCCTTTTATTTTTATTTTTTCAATAATATTAGTACCGTACGTAGCACGGGTATTCACACTAGTTTTGTAGTGTTATGCAAGCAAAATTTCATTTTGTCGAGTGGTCATCTTCTCTATGTATCTTTTGTAGTTTAAGTTCAAGTTCACACGAGAAAACTAAAATTTGTACTCTTATAAATTTGTCTCATATTATTTTTTGATGTAAAAAGTTAATTTTTGATTTTTTTCTCTTATGTTCCTCCAATTTGCAAAAGCATGAGTGATTTACCAGGATCATGAATTGTATAGGATATAAAATTTTAAGATCATGAATGGAAGAGGACATAAAATTCTAAAATTAAGATTGTGAAGTTCATTTTTGGCAGAGGATTACCATTCCCGAAATTCAAATACGTGACCTTATTTTCAACTATATATCAATTGGGGAAGGATCTCGTCAAATATCATTCAAACCTTCGTTTAGCGTTTTTAAGATCACAAAAATAATATTGTTTTTCTTGTGCTTCCTCTCTCTCCTAACAACATCATTTTTTTTATCCATATGAGTTGCAACTTAATGTAAAAAGGAGAATTTACTGTTACACTGATAAAGTTACAATATTGTTGACAACTGAACATTTGTTGATGAAGAAAAATGGATTGTTGGATTTTTTCTATTTAATTAAATATTAATATATAGTTCATGGTTTATGCTCATTATAAAAAGTTTAATTATCTAAAAGAATATTTATAGAAAGAGGATTATTTACCAAGTTTTTGATATGTGGTACAGTTTTTTGATGTACACTATTATGTAATAGTGAAAGCTTGTAAACAAATTTTTAAAAATTAGTCAATAATTGATCGTTTAGGATACATTAATTTTTTTAAAAGTTAATATGAATGAATACGTAGGATTATTGTTAGTTTTTGTATTTAAATTATTCATATTTTTATAAATTAACTATAAATAAAAAGACGCCGAAAAAACCCCGTACGCGAGCAAAGCATATGAAAATCAGGAAGCAAGCAGATTGCGGCAGCAGCAACCATGACGAGGAAGTTCTGATATTCCATGAAAGCTACTCCTTAAGAGCCTTCCACTGCTCCAAATTCCCCTTCACGGAGTTATGTGATTGACAGGGATGTAAACAAATCTAAACAAACTAAATACTCTAATTTTCAAACTTGTTTAATTATTTTGACAAACTTGATTTATTTACTTCTTCAATTGAACTTAAATAAACTTTTATCGAGTCGAATTAAACTTTTTACTCGTAAGTTTCACTTGTGTACTAATCGAGTTGAGCTGAAATGAAACTTAAATTGAAATTAATTTGATCAAGTTTGACATGATTTAACTAATAAATCAAATTCGAAACTCTTATCAAACCGAATTCGAATCGACTATTAAATGAAATTAGTCTTTCAATCACTGTTGATTGGTGATTACATGTCAATAAATTATTGAAACAAACGGCCACCTTAAACATAGATCGAGACTTGGACATTGAGATTCGGCCATAGCAATAGAGCAGCGCCGCCACCCCACCGTGAAGGGGCTTTTCTGATTTACTATGACAAATACTTTGAATCAACTGATGCTACTCATGCTAATTTGTGACAAGTAAACTAAAGAGTGGCCATCCTGAATCAATTAAAAGTACCCAACAAATAATTCAAGTATGTAGACCTCAGGATGAAAATTGGAAAAGTTCAGGTATTTGGTACCATCAAGTCAAGTGTGTTTAGAATAATTACTGTAACACTTTTTTGTGATATGATGTGTGTGAGATAAAAAATAATTAAAAATATAAAAAAATGGATTGAAAAATGTGTTTATGATGCAAGCAAAATATTATTTGAGATAAATTTGCAATCCAAACACACTCATCAATATTCGATTTTTCAACATTTAAATAGTAATACAACTAGTGAAAATCTAATGCATCCTGTCACAATTATTTCCAACAATAGTTCTAACAATTAAATCACATGATGATTGTGAAACCTAGTATTGTCCTCATGCATGACTGACTCTTTGAAAACACCAAGGGGAGAGGTCCAACAAGAACTGTCACGGTTGAGATCTCCGCACTTAGAAAGAAAATGACATTCCTCTTTCCAGAGTAAGGAACTGCAGGATCGTCATTAACAAACTCCAGGGTAAACGCACCAGCAAAGAAATGCAAGTAAAAATGATAATTGGAAAAGAGTTGTTTTTTCAAAACAAAAAAAAAAAAAGAAAAAGAATCAGTGTACAACAATTGCTCTCATTATTTATTTAAAAAAATTGCAAGATTAGAGGAAAAAAAAATAGAAATTAGCTCTCAATTTCATGCAAAAGACAAGTAAATCAATCTGTGCGGTATTCTTTCACAAAAATATAAGAGAATGCTGAGCTGATTTTTTTGGTATGTAAACTGGCCTTTCTCAGCAGGCTTTCCCACCAATAGAAACTTTCAATGGTATTGGGCAGTTGCAAAGACTGCTATAGCAACCATCAATTTTTCAATTACAAATTCAACTAGAAATGGAAAAAAATGAGAACAATGATTTAACGTCTGCTGGTTACATTGAGCACTAGACGCAAAACTGCAGTAAAAGAAGGCAGAATATGTACGGTTGAATATAGTCTACTTGATTTTTCAAGATGCTATGATGATATTTAGGAGTCATCTTTAAGATGTCAGGATGCTAACTAGAAAAGCTTGCAACTAAATCAACCATCATCTGTATCACTTTCCAAAAACTGACCATCTTGGCTGAAGACATAGGGACTTCCATCAGGACCCAACACCTTAAACCTAATCAAGCAAGAAACAGCAAACACTTTAAGTACTAAATACAAAAGTTAATATAATGACCACAGAACTAACTCGATACCTTTCAAGGATATATTTTCCTTCCTTGTACTTTTGGCTCTTTTCAAAAGCAGATTCCTGACATTTAACGAAAAGATATAAGCAATAGTATAGAGAAACAATAAATTGCACAAATGAGTGCTCATGAACTCACATATTTCCACCCAACAAGCGAGCCACAACCCACACAGAATATGTCAACCACAGTGTGCATCCCAGTCATCATCATCCGCTCTTCTTTCTCGCCAATGGTCACATTCACACTGTTAAGCAATGGAAAGTATGTTGTCATGTTTGCCAGGATAAACTGAATTACAATTTTGAGGCATCAGGCATGATATGATTGTTCTTGCAAGGAATTGAGCCATAAACACAACCAAAGTGGGAAACATCCATTCATATATTTCAGAAAAAAAGAAGAAGCCCCAGTGCACCTCAAAATCAAACATATCCAGTAATGATACTGAAATATATTTGGCTATTACAAGAGAAGAAAGGAAAGGGTAACTGATATACAGAAAACAATGAGCAAAATGCTAGTTTAGAAGTGGAAGATAATATCAAGTTTTATGAGCAGACAGACATACTGGCACTCCAGTCCTTAAGAATCATGGAAATGTATAAGCAAGTACTCATGCATCAATAGCTCCAATTTCAACAGTTGACCAGATCTATCCCACAGCCCAGTGGCAGCTCATCGCAAATCAGGTCCATAATTTGAATCAAGTGCTTAAGGGCACTAAAGATGAAGACACTTACGCCTTGTCAAAGAGATAAGCCTTCCCATGTTTGGAGTGAAAAGACTGGAAAGACCAGCAAACAATGAGTTAGTGTAAAGGACCTGAAATCTAACATAAAGATACTAGGAGGCACAGGTTGAAATAAAACAAGATAGCCAAGCTACTTTGGATTAGCCCTGTGTTCTATAACTTCAGGTAGCAGACAAAGTTCAACCTAGAAGAGACCATACTAGTCCCGAAAATGTTCCATATTATCCTGAGCATGGAACCTTAGTGTACTTATAAAGCACAAGTAAACAAGGCATGACAAGCACTGGAGCTTCAGCCTAATATCAAACCAGAACTCTTAAATATCTGGCTACAAGGAAATTAGTAGCTATTAGTTATTAGTTCAATACCTTCAGTCAACTCAACTACAACTAATAGCTGTCTGAACCACCTTTTTATGGAGATGAGTCTCATGGAACTTAAAAGGCAAGGTTGACTCACAGAAAGGAGCCAAGAAGTGCTAGCCAGATCTGAATGGAAGCCAGCAGCATTATATTCATGAATAATTTGATTTGGCGTATCATTTTTGATCTTATATGTCAAGACATTTCAAGACAAAAAAAGCCACTAAATGAAGCCATGGCATGTAGATAATGCACAACCTAGGTAAGTGAGTCATGGAGTGCAAGCAAGTGCGAGGATCCAATAGCAGTAACCATTTTAAAGAAACAACTGGTAGCGATTGTCTGGCACATCGAACATTTATGGCCTCAGGGTTGTATAATTATATCATAGCAACTTGACACTCTATTTTCATTTCTTTTGTTTCCCTTCAGATGCAAAATGCAGAAATCTTGTTTTATTCTTGTGAAAAATTAAAACTATACCGCAGACAGGTTTCAAATAATTTGGAGGTACAAAGTCAGCACTTATATAAATTGGATCAAGAAATCTCTTCCCATATTTTCCTTCACTCACAATCTGACGAACAAAAGACGCAGAAGAAATCAAGGAAACAGGAAACTAATTTTGAACTTTTTCGTTATAAGAAGGAATTCATGTTGCCACACAAACACACATTTCCAAGTCAGTTCGGGTGAGATGGGACCTGGGGTGTGGGTCACACATAGATTGGTATATAGAAAGGGGCACACACTCAGAGAGAGAGAGAGAGAGAGAGAGAGAGAGATTCCAAAGCCTCAAGCATTTGACTTTCTCCCAAGTTCATAGTACTGTTTAAGAAATTTCCATAACGCGACTAACAAGTAAGAGCATAAAAGCACAAATTCAGAAATCATTAGCCCCAAAACAAAATATATGATTTTCCAATCACCATAAATCTTAATATCCAACCCATCATTTAGAGAGTGTGAAACAGTTCGCTGCATGTTCAGTATTCAATGCAACAATGGAAGACTAAAAAACCTACAATTATCAGCAATTAACCTGAAAACAAATTATCAGCATGCAAAAGTAACCGCGGTTATAGGTCGTTATTAAAGCTTAAGCCTGTGCATGGAAGCAAAAGCCTCAATGCTAATGTTACACAAAACAAAACTGTGGTGAATAAACCATTCATGCAAAACCTGCCTCAGGCCCTTGACTTATATTTGTAGAGAAAATATAAGCCAGGGCACAACAAAACCAACTCAAATAACACCAGAATGTGGAACCACAAACTAAATTGGACATCCTGAAATCAAACCAGCCAGTTTACTTAATGGTATCTCATCTGGGGACAAATGACCATAAGACGAGAATAGAAGCATAAAACCATAGCCCTATTACTGCTGGTTGGAAAGCACAGCATCAAACTCCGAATTCAATTGAACAGGAATCAAAATTATGAGCCCAATTTAACCCTTTACAAAATGAAATTTAAGCTGCCAAACATAGCTTAAAGAAATTCACTCCTAAACACAGAATAAAAAGGACTGTCTAAATCTGTAATTGACATTTCTTTTTAGCTTTTTTCTTTTCATTTTTATTTCGTTAGATGTGAAGTTCTGTTACACGTTAGCAACATACATTCTTGTATGTAAAAGATTGACAAGGATAAAAATCGGCCAGAAAATAATGAGGGATGTATATACCATTTCCTTTTCACCAAAAAATGAAGCAACAAAAAGCCAAGAAAATAAAATGAAAAACCCACAACTTAATACAATCAATCGTTTCACATGTACCATTATTTCCTCCCAGCAGATCCCTCCATTCACATTTCTGATCATCCACCAAAAATTAAAGAAAAGAAAATACCAATATAGCACTAGTTACTAATAAGATACATAGCTAAACATTCATAGCCCTATACAAATGATGAGAGAGAGAGAGAGAGAGGGATAAAGACCCTGGAGATGAGGTCATCAGTAAGAGCAAGATGGGCATGACAGTGCTTGCAACTGTAGTGGTTTCCTTCCAGATTGGTCAAGAATAGCCTTCCCATACTTCTACCTGAAAAACAACAGAACCCCTACCAAAAAATTAACAATACAACTGATTGCTGATTCAAGGAGGAGGAAAAAAACAAAGGCAAGCCTAATCGAGTAAAGGGTCGGAAATGAAAAGAATGGAATGAAATCTGAAGGATCACTAATTAGCATGAATTGACTGATCAAAGGCAAAACAAAGTCCAGAAGACGCCACGAATGAAATGCAAGAAATCAGTTACAAACAAAAAAAATGGAACGGACGATGAGGTCCACGACAGAGATGATGATTATGATCTCACCTGATCAGCAGCGGTCAAGAAGTGAAGGCCGAAGGGGGTTTAGGGCCGTGTCGTATATCACACCATTTTGAGTCGAGCCTGTTGTATTTGGCGTATTTATATGTACGAGTATTTGGGAGAGAAATACAGATAACTCGAATGGGTAAAATGCTTGATATGTCCCTCAGATTTTGGATTTTGAGGTTTTTTGTACCTCACTTACAGAATATGGCATTTGTCGATTTACACCTCTCATAAAAGCGAAACACACCAATTTGGTATTTTCATCACATTTTCACTTGAAACCCACTACATTTATCGAAGCAAAAGGGTCAAAAATGACTTGACCCATTCGATGAAATGGGGGTTAAAGATGTAGGCCTTATAAATAAATTGATACTAGTGCTTTTGGCACTTCGTAGGTGTGTGCTTATTTCAAGAAAATGTATGATTATCTTTTTCATATTAAGTTATATATCATGGTAGATATATATATACATATATATGTAGTTATCTGAAAAATCTAGTTACTATTTAGAGGAAATTATTGTATTTAAAAACTAGGAGGGGAATGCCCGCGCATCGCACGAGTGTTTGGTACCAGTGGTTAAAAAATATTTTATGGTAGTTCAAGCAAATATCAAAAAACTCACGCACATTGAATAATACAATGAAGTAATAAAATATCTAATGTATACTGGGAGATGGAGAAGGAAATCATGCATGCTATTTTGCTCAATTCATATATTTTGAAACAAACACTTGTATATAAGTTTTTCATTAACAAGACTAAACGAACTTTAAACAGATATCTAAACGATTCAGATAATGGTAATAAACAAAATGATTATCCACTTAAAGATGCATCTACACAACATTCTTGTTGATGAAAGTAGCCAACTATGGTGGAGGCTTTTTGATCATAGTAGCCAACATTCTTTTTTTTATCAAAGTAGCCAACATTCTTGTTGATCGAAACCTATTTCAACAAAACCACACCATTTAAATTATAAAGAACAACCAACTTTGTGGGGGAAACAATAATATCAATATTAAATTGTACTAACAGAGTATCCAATTTTGGAATGAAAACATTTAGCTAATAATAGAAATTGCGATTTTACAAAACAAAACATACCATTAAAAAAAGAATAAAACCTCACCTCAAGTTCAACCACCAAGAATAACTTCACCAGAAAATCATATTGAAATCCAGAGTACAATGGCAATACAAATAAATATTTACCGGAAGACGAAAGGAACATAACAGAAGAATGTGAAGGACAGACATTTAAAGAATCCTTATACTATATAAGAATGAGTTTGGGTCAAAGAATGGTTTTGAACTTCAACCGCAAGAGTAGGGGTATTTTGGGATAGTGGGATTGTTTTGAGTGTAGTTATAATATTGGGTACTACTTTAGATAGCATGTGTATTATTGTGTTTACTGAAATGTCCTTGTATTGTAAAAGATGCAGTGATGATTTGTTCAAATGTTTGGGTAGTTTGGAAATGTGAGATTATTTGATCATCTTTTCTATAATAGATACAACCCATAATATCTTCTTTGTTGGTGTAATTACTTAAATGTTCTTGTAGAGACATTCATTTTGGTTTGTATTAATTATTACTATTACTTTGCTATTATAACTTGAAGAACTTCAAACGTCATTTTCATCTCAATTAAAGTAAGGACAATGTGGTTTATTAAGGAATTTATGATTGAGCATTAGTTTCAACTTCAATTCTTTAAATGTGGTTTAAATGTTCTTTAATGGTCCTTACTTTAATTGAGATGAAAATGACGTTTGAAGTTCTTCAAGTTATAATAGCAAAGTAATAGTAATAATTGATACAAAATGAATGTCTCTACAAGAACATTTAAGTAATTACACCAATAAAGAAGATATTATGGGTTGTATCTATTATAGAAAAGATATCAAATAATCTCACATTTCCAAACTACCCAAACATTTGAACAAATCATCACTGCATCTTTTACAATACAAGGACATTTCAGTAAACACAATAATACACATGCTATCTAAAGTAGTACCCAATATTATAACTACACTCAAAACAACCCCACTATCCCAAAATACCCCTACTCTTGCGGTTGAAATTCAAAGCCATTCTTTGACCCAAACTCATTCTTATATAGTATAAGGATATCATGGAGGCGATGTGAGGATATTAATGTGAGGGAGTTGTAATTTAATGTCAAAGAGATGACTTTTCGTTGATTATGGAGATTTTTTTCTAGAACATATTGGGATTAATTTGCCTTATAATTAAAAAAACAAAACCCTCCACGTTTGGCATGCAAGAATGGTTTGGAAAAGAAAGGCCTTTCCAACTTGTTCATTCCATTCCAAGTTTGGTATGGATCATATGAGTGATGAACCTCTTTCCTTTTGAAATGCTCATTCCAACTTTTTCCCAGAATCATATTTTTTAGAAATCTTGGGAAGGTTCTTTCCAACTTTATCCTAAAATGCCCAAATTAATAGGATGTCAATTTATCTTTATAAATCCTTTTACTCTACCACCATATCTCAGAATATTTATGAGCTCAAATAATAGTTAAATGTAATTTTTCTTGTGTTTAAAATATTTTTTTCTTTTTTAGTAGCAAACAAATATTTTTAGATGCTTTATTCTTTGATTTTTGAGCAATTTTGTGAATTTTTTATTTTACATAAAAATAAAAAAATAAATTTTAAAAATATATTATATTTGTTTGGCTTCATCTAATTTATATGTTATTTTGCTAATTAATTAATTATATTACCAGAAGATGTAAAATTTTAACATAAAAATCTATGTGCTAGAATAAATTAAATATTACAATTAAAAATTTTTAATATCAATCATCAATAATTTGAAAGCAAAAATGTCAAAACTCCACGTAAATAAACAAATAACATAGTATAACAAATAAAAAAAATGTTATGTCCCCTAAACTAATCTAGGGCAATTAAGTCAAATTTGTATTAATCTTATTCTGTTTTGATATTTAAATATGGATTATACCAAATACTGGAAAATAAATGAACATTCTATTCTAATTTGTGTGCCAAATACTGGAATGATAAAATTTTCTTCCACCCATTTTGGGTACAAAGATATTCTGAGTGGAAAGATCTTCCCATTTTTGGCCATTCCTGCATACTAAATAAGATGTAAGGATAGATTAGAAATTTTAAAAAGTGATACTGTGTGTTTGCACCATATAGCATTACTCTGCTTTTATATATTGTATAGATATATGATTTCAAGTGCACATATAGTTTTGACCTTTATATATATAGGTTTGCTATATGCATGATACCTCAAATAGCTAAAATGTGTTGTAAAATTTGATATCCTTTATTTATGATCAAAATTTTTCAATGAAATTGGTTAAAACTACAAATGTAAGAGGAAACAATTTATGTTTGAACTAGAAAAGTCTAGCACTTAGACGAGAAGTAAAAATATAAGATTTTGGTAGCAGAAAGCTGAATGTGCAGGCCAAAATGAAATGAATGATTTCACATTGATATTTGGCTTTTATTTCATGGCCTATACTTTAATGGTTTCCTAGAAGGAACTTTAGATTTCATTAGACATGATACATTGTTATGGAGTCTTGCACTCAATAACACTGATGGAATGAAAATAGAGATATAACCTGAAAGCGAAAATCTCATTAATATGTCCAAGGAGATAAAGGCTAAAGTTGATGGAATATTTAGTATTAGAGAAGATGTGTTACAACTAATAGAATGATTTTCGTTTTCTTGCCTTTTAGTTTTGTTATTAGGCATTGGTATTACTTATCAACCAGAAAGATTTTGGATTTTAATTTTTTTTCTTTTAAAGGTCTTTCAATTATGTTAATTACATATTTTTAGCATACATTGTAATCCAATGGCCACTTGCTATAAGTATAATTGTAGAATCTTATGCTAAAAATTATAAAGGTTAAGATGTGTTGCATTGATAGTTAAATAGAGCAATATGGCGCTAAAAAATAGTTAAGGAAGTTGCATAATGATCAAAAGCTAATGAATTTTTAATTAAGTATCTTTTCTTTGCAAATATAATTTTAAGAGTTGCTAATGTCATAGATGAGTTAAATGTACTTATTTATTGCTTCATTGACTATGTTCTTTGCAATTAGGTTGAGACAATCATCTATTACAAAATGTTACAAATGACTAACTTAATCCAACATTAAATAGATTTGATATCATTAATATTCAAAAAGATTTCATGAACTAGTTGAATGAGTCGAGCGGAAGCACGGCCCTCATTAGTTGCCCCAAGTGATTGATATTACCCCAATTGCATGTTGAAAGGAAATAGAACAACATTGCAAAACAATTTTACTAAGATAATAAAAAGTTTGGAATAGTAATGTTTAAATCTATAGTCAAAAGAGTAAGTGCACAAGTTTTGTAAATGGGAGTTCAATGAAAGTCAAGAATTAGGAGGGTAATCTGCCTTCAACTCAATACGATTTTAACGCCATTTTGTATCTCATAAGTAATACTTCTCTCTTCCATTCCCAGCAAATATCGGTCTCCGTTTGGATTAAATATTTTTTAGAGTGTTTTTAAAATATTTTACTGTAACAATGTATGTGAAAAACTTTTACTGTAGAAATTTTTGGTAGTGTTTTTAAAGGTGTTTTTGGGTATATTTTAGGATATTTTTAAAGTCTAAAATTTTTTTAGTTATTTTTAAAAATTAACACTACCACTTATCGCTGCTACCACCCCCTCCCTCTTCTTCCTTCTCCTCACTTTTTCCTTCCCCCTCTCTTTTTCTCTTGCTCCCTGCTCCCTTCCCCTTTTCCTTCCCTCATTCTCCTTCTTTCTCCCTCTTTCTCCTCCTCTCTTCTCTTTCCCCTCCCCCTCCCTTCTTCTAGATCTAGTCAAAGATAGCTTGGGAAGCGGAGAGGGATGGGGTTGTGGCAGGAAGGGGGAAGAGAAGGGGAAAGGAAGGA